TTTTTTATTTAAGATATATATTTTTTTGTATGAAATATTACTTTTAATAACTATCAATAGAACTCTATTTACTATAACAAAAGTAGTGTAAAGTTTAGAGTTATTAAAAGTAGGCCCATTTTCGATGGCTTAATTCATGCAGTGACATCTTTCAGCTGTTCGTTGGAGTAGAGAATCCCTCATAACACACGAAAACCTTAGAAAAAATATTTTAAATTACTCCTTAACATTCACGTACCTGTGTCGCAAAAAATTTCCGGAGAGGTAAAAAGTTGCCACGATACTTTAGGGAGCAACATTAAAAAATAATCGACCCAGACATCCATGGGTAATTCCATTGTATCCATACCTTTCGAAAATCACCAACTATCGATTTGTCCAAAATTTGATGGGAAGTTTAGGATTGGTATGAAAATGATCAAATAGGTATCATTTTTATCAAAACCCGTTCAATACTTTCAATAAATATTCCAGCATTCGAATCTGCAAGCGGACTGTTATTCAAATGAATAATCATCTCGTTCGATTTGATTCGAAAATGAAGGAAATTAGGAGAATAAAGTCGTTCCAATTGCTTATTATTAATGTCATTAAATTCAAATTATCAATTAAAATTAATGTAAATAATTCATATGTGTTTAATGAAAGGTAGTATGGGTTGAAAAAGTTGTTCATCGATTGAAACAACCATTCAACTCTAAAATTTTGGAAACAAATTTCAAAGTATATATCATATACGTTTACTTGCATGAAGTTACATAATTTATTTTAAATTTTTTTACATTCAAAAATTAATGTCATAATTAATTATGGAAGATAAATCGAAGAGGAGCACGGATATAATATTCGGACGCAAAGGGAATGTGGAAGGGAGAGAGCTTTGATGCGACAGTAACATTGCCTCATCCATTTGCATCGTATTTCGTTCGCGGCACCGAGCTCTCTATTAGCCGGAATAAATGTAAACATTAGCCACTAAATGCTTTTACCTCCCCTCCTCACTCCTCCCTCCCATCGCCAGCAGATCCCATATTAATCCTCCTTTACCCCGTGCCCGCCATCAATGGAAATTCGTGTAATTTTTGTGTTTCGAAATGCCTGTTTTGCGAATTTAGAAGCGAGAACTGTTTTAGCTTTCAACTTTGCTCGCTATTTGTTTCGTTCCATTAATGGAGTGAGCATCGTAATGAACTCATCTTGGATTCGATATGGTTGCATTAGCCGAGAGAACGCAGTTTCCATTTTTGTTAATTCTTTTTTAGACCATTCTTCAGCTGGTAGATATATGAAAAATCCAAATATTGGTCTAGGGAACAATATTTAGTTTTCAAAATGTTTCGATTTGTGTCCCACAAAGGCAGAATACAAAAGGAACTACATATGATAAAATTATATTGATTGATTTTTGTAATATTTATTTTTGATATCTTTATTAATTGATTGATACATTGAGTACAATAGAGTAATTATGACTTATATTTTGCGTTTTTTATCTATTTTTAAATCAAATTCGGTGCTAAGTTCACTAAAATAAAATCTTTTAATTCAAGATGCTTTCTTTTATGAGAATTTTTATTATCACAAAAAAAGATTATTTTTTTTATCAAACCTTGATTTTATCCTGCGCAATATTTCTAACCCTTTAAGCAATATTAATTGATATTATATGCAATGAATTTAAATAAAAATTATAGAAGTCTAAACTTAAAAAATAATAAAACATACGGCTTGAAAAAAAAATAGTAGGGCAATAATATATTGAAGCACACCATAATGCGTCACACTTGTTGGTCTGCATCAAAGGTGCTGTATAATAAAAATGAATATCAACTATTAATAACTTTTGTAAATCCATATGCTACATGCTAATCTCATTAGTAAGCTTAGAAACCTCCTTTTCCTTAATCAGAAAAACTATATTTAAAAGACAGGCGCTTGTATAATAATTTAATAAATTTGATTCTCTCCTAACAAAGACGTCATTTCGCATTCGAAAGAGCAACAGGAAGTATAATTGGTGCAATGGCGTAACTAAGGATGAATGCGCCCCAATTCACGTATTCCTTGTGCGCCATCCTTGTCCACTGTAAAATAAATTACCAAAATTATGTTCACCCCACAATTACTTTTCATAATAATATTTTTCAAAATTTCTCACAATCCTACTGAATAGAGCATAATTATGCTCATTGAAAAACAAAATTATTAATTCTTTTTTTAAACTATTGGGTTACTTCAAACGTTCTCCAGTATTATCGAAATCTTTCTCTTTAATATTCACATACTTTGTTTAGATTACCACAGAATTATATTTAAATATGTATCTTAAATGGCTTCATCTAAAAACAGCAAAAGATAGTCTGTGTTTTTATTGTAGAATAAAAAACATTTATACTTTCTTTCATTTTCATTCAGGATTTTTCATATGTTGAACTACCTGAAACTGATAAATGTGTACATTACATTATTAGTAGTTCAACCAGCGATATGACCTGATTTACCAATCATACCGCGATTTACTATACTACGAGCAGTACGTTCACTGTATCTGACAGATTATTCCTTCGGTTACATCACCGTCCCCACCAGGGATGCCACTCCATGACACATATATATAGAGTAGAAATGATTATGTATCCGACAGAATATTCTATGATATAATTCGATTCAAAGAGTGGCTACCCGGTCCAATTCATGACAAACACTAAAGGGACTAGTGTACTTTGTGGAGCTAATCCGCCCTGCTGGTGACAACTGGGGCTGCCTCGTGTTTTTGTGGCTTCGGTATCGGCTTTAACAAACTGACTTGTGTCTTTGGCCTTTGTCAATGTTAAACGAACCTTTGTTGCTGACAAATGGCTTTTCCAACTAGTGAATAAGGATAATTAAATAATTTCAAATTTCTATTTGACATGATAATTTTTAAGTTTAGTGATTTTATTTGTATCTTGTGTCTTTTACTCATTAGCCATCCATTTCAATCAAGTTATGAAACAATATTTGAAAGAAGCCTGATAATATTTAAAGATAATTTTTACGAGGGTGATTCTTTGTTTAGTTAGTTAAGTTTTTAGGTTATTTTACCATAATTTTAATTTTCTGTATCGTAAAAGTAGCGAAAATGTTTGTTTGTTTTACCTTTTTTGTGGATAGTGAATGAAACTGGGCCGTCGCGCTCGGATATGTAACGCACATTCAGGTAAAGTAGGTGCGAGTCGATTAATTGAGGTTTTATTGCATTCGGATTAAAATATCTCAGAAACTAAAAATACCTGTATATTGTAAATAAAGACAATGTTCAGAATTTCATACTTTTGAGCTATTAAACAAAATTTTATTCTAACGGAACACCCTACCCTGTTAGAGAGACAAAAAGAAAAAAAGATTCGAAAAAGTGTCGAAAACCAAATAATAATGACTAGTTTGAACGTTTGGACTATAATATGTCAAAATTTAAATAACATCGAAAATTCAGGAACCAATTCGCATAAGTCAATATAGATATTGTTTTAATTAGCCATAAAAATTAGAAATTAAGTATTTGTATTAGATTTTCTATCGAAAATAAAGTATCGACAAATTAACAGCTACATTTAAGATTTATTTAAAAAATGACCAAGTTTTTGTTAGATATTTAGCGAATAGTTTTTGTTTAAAATTTTATAAAAGGGAGCAATGTTTTTTTTTGCCCAAAATATATATTATTTTTAAATATCTTTATTGAGAATTTACTAATACACTGACACTAGTTAATGAACGGCCTAGTTAATGTTATAACGAAGCTGCATTTAAAACCTAACATTACATAATACGACGAAGATAATTTTGTATTGGAATGTCTTGTGACCATCTTTTTTATTCATATTATCGGAAATCAAATCATTAGGCAGTTCACAAGACTAAAGAAATTTCGGCTCAGAATTCATGTTGGAGGGATAGATATATATTTCAGGATTTCCTACGTATTTTTAAGTGATACTAAATATACGAAGGGGTCATAATGACAGCTGGATATATAGACAATAATAAATCAATTTTTTTTCATTTATTAGTAAATTCGTCTTGATACAGAATAAAGCTAGAACGAAATTTATTTTTTAATAAATATCAAAGCTACGTAACTCAATTGAAATGGAGCAATCTTATTTTAAATATTTTGCACATAGGTTCCTTTAAAATAATATAAGATGTCGATCCAAAATGAGTTTAGTTAAAAAAAAAATAGAAAATATGAATTTTAATTGGTGGTCATCAATGAGTTTTCTAGTAATCACGTTATATTTTTTTACAACCTTGTAAATTATTTTTAGTTATAATCAACTCGAAAAAAAAAATGTTTTATTTGAAATGCCATAACATGATCATCACCGGTTGAAAAAATACTAAGAATATGTAAATATTATAAAGATAATGTAAAATATTATGAAGAATAATTCAGAATAAATATTCAGGATTATTACTCCTTCTGATTGGTAAAAGGATAGATAGCTGTTCACCAGTCTGAGTCCGATTGAATATCAATGATATGGAACGACTCTGGGTCACTAGGCTTTCTAATCGTTTGATATGTATCAATGTGTTTTTTATGAATTTAATATAGTTTCAAGTTTTTTTTCTCTAATTTTTCTTTTTCGTTTTTGTTATTGTATGTATAGTATGGATGATAATACTTAATGCCCTTCAGTGTGCCAAAAATTATTATTTCTTAATGAATCATAGTACATTAAAAATAATTTTCGAAAGTTATATAACATCATAAGGTGTAAATCCTAAGTAAAGTAAAAATCTGAAGCTTTGTAAATAAGTAAAGCGTTTTTTTCTTCTTCAAGTGCTGATTCTGGTTGGAAATCTTTATAAGTTTATTTTATTAAGCAAATTCTCATGTTAAAGCACCTAAAAAATTATTATGTAATAACACAGCGATATTGAATAAGAGCAAAGTTATTTATGGTATATTCCTCCAGTTATAGCTATATCTAACTTCTAATCCTTTTTCACAGAGAGCATGATCAGTTACACCACGTCCAGGGGTGACTCAGGCTTAGAAGACGACTCCTATGATGGGATCCTAGACGGAGGCCTCATGAAGGGAGGTCTTGGCCAGTTAGTTGATGGTCTTTACGGACCCAACGATTTCATCCTCGAGACGAGGGACAACCCGGATTCAAGAGACGGCCAAGGAATGAGGAGTAAGTATTGCACGTCCCATTGCATATTAAAATATTGTATTGAATTTTTATTGAACAATACAATGTAACAAAAACGATCGTAAGAAACTAAATTTCTCAGACTGAAATAGTACAGTATATTTAGACATTATTTTTAATAGAAATATGGTTCTGTGTTGAATTGAAAATACACTTAAAAAAAACTTCTTATTACTTCATTCACCTTCTTCACAAATCTTCAAAAATACATAAAATATTTGCAGAAACGTATTGAAATCCAATTATTTACAAACTACCCACCGAAATACAATTTAGCCAAAAAGACCTATTGTTAAAAACAAAAAGTAATGTGACTAACAAAACATACAGACACCAACTATATCATACTTATTTGCATAGATGTACTAACAGAATAATGAGAAATATAAGCTATAGCTGACAGTCCTACAAATAAGAGGAAATGATAAAAAAAATAAAAAAAAATGGTAAAGCAGATAAAATGAGAAACAAGCAAAAGCAACCTTTTTTTTTTAAATTATATATTTAAATTATATAGATCTGCCAAGCGCATCGTATGGGTGATTCTTTTCCAGTAACATAGTTTCTGGAAGCTTAACTGGAGAAAGGAGACCAATAAGCATGACCACGCTGATGTGGCAAGACTACATAGAGAGACTAAAACAACCTATAGTCAGGAACAAGAATGAGATGAGAGTTAAAGTCAAAGACAGAGATCAGTGGGCGAGGTGGACTGAGGATGTAGCAAAGTTACAGAATCAACCCAGCAAAAAGGTGTTCATGATTATCAACAACATGTTGATAAGTGTAATTTCAGATTCGACAAAAGAAATAAAAATATATATGAAACCTAAAAAATAAAAATTAAACCTTTGTAGGGCACTAAAAACTGAAGAAATACAGGTGCACATAATTGAACGCCGGTCTCAAGAAACTAAAAGAATTAACTGTATATTGCTTCATAATTAACATTCTAATCACGCTCAAATTTTAATAAAGGAAAGGATAAAACTTTGGATTACTTGAAATCTTAATGAAAAATCAGATGTAGCTTTATGCAAACTACTTACTTTGTAATAACCATTCTGTAGTTATTTAAGTGAAAAAAAATATATATAAGTAGTACTTACAAACTGCAGCTTAGCGAAGCTATACACATTTTATTCTCTAACAACCACTACGTCCACATCAGTAACAGTATTAACTACTTTGTACCTAATTTGATGAAAGTACAAAAACGTTTCATTATTTTATCAGTTACATAGGCAATACTATTTTAACCTAATAAAAAAAAATAGCTCCTGACCAATCAATAAATTAATTGCATACTTTTTATATTAAGTCGTGTAAATGAACGTACCAATACCAAATTATATATTTATGAAAAAAATCTGTGGCGGTACGCACGATATTCTTTTGATTAAAAACTGATATTAATAAATTTAATTAACCGATCTTTAAAGTTAGCTATTGGATTTTTAATTATTGAAATAAATTAACGGATTTAAAGATATTAAAGTGAAAGAAAATGAACACAGTATGTCTATATCAAACATCATTGTTTTTCAGGTTTGTTAACCTTATTTTTTTTTCGTTACTCTCAGTAACCGTTAAAGTTATATATATTATTTGTAAAATCGTTAACTTACTAATATTTTATTTATACATATATCTGTTCTTATTTCCGGAAAGTCATTTTCATTTTCTGTAAATATATATATATATTTTTTTTTTGCTCCTATAATGAATAATCTATTTTTTTTATAGCTTATATACATACATTTTTTATTAACACTAACGAGTGTTTATGATTAATTATTTCAAGCGAACAAAATTAAAGTTAATTTAGAGTAAGCCATTTATGAAACATTCAACTTTGTCAGACTATTTCAGTGAGGCTGAATGTGTACGTATGGCATTTATAGGATATCTTAGTACTCAACGGATAATATAATTTCATATTTATATAGGATAAATACTGCGCCATCGACCACCAAGATCTTACTGTAATGGTAATGTTATTTAAGCCCTGTGTTAATGATAATACACAAATCAGATGCGATAACTTACGGTTTTGCTAATTATCGGACAAATTCAGTCAAGAAAGCAAAAAAAAAAAAAAAAAGTGAAAGCCGGGCAAAATAAAAATCCTACCGAAACCTAAATGAATTTATACCTGATGATTTATTCCTTCCTTTAATCTGGATAAAAATTGTTAAAACAAATAAACTGAAAGGAAATGCTATTGTCTAGCATATTGTTGAACTAATTCAAGAGAGTTTTTTTTTACTCAAAGTCGATAATGAGATATTGTTTTCAACCCACCACTATGCATATTGTTTTATTTTCAATTGCTTTTAGGCTGATTTGCTCTCTCTCTCTCTCTCTCTCTCTCTCTCCTAAATTAAAATTGTGTAGCATGTTTGCCGTTGTTATTCTTTTCCGCTGTACGCCTTACTTTCTAACGAACAAAATAGTGAAGAATATTATTTTAAACAGGTTTGAATCTTTTTGATGTATGATGGTTACCATTAATGGGTCCTAATAGATTTATAGATTCCGAATTGCCCCTAGCAGGAGAGTGCTTGATCAATTTAACATCTTATTGGGCTAACTGACAGGCTCGAGATTAAATTGGCATATTAATTAAAGGTCACTAGGCGACTAAGGCATTAAATGGATTTATGTTTCATTCTTCTTGATTTATGTTTTTATCCGCCTTGGGTTGAGTTATTCCCCTCTAGGGGCTCCCTCCCGTCGAGTCCGAATTTTCCGACCTGAGCTTTTCCACCCTATTCCGATTATTTTTCTTTTCTATATTTTTTCCCCTCTTGTATTAGGGGAAAAAGTATAACTGGTTATCATATCTTAATATAACGTAAAATTCTATTTCTCTTCTTCCGTATGATAATAACATACACAATATACAATAGTTACTGTGTACGCACTACACAATACACTACTCTTTTTATTATATAATTAACATCCAACTAAAAAGTCGTGGAATTGGGCGTTTTATCGTTAAATTAATTAATTTAATGAATTACTGAAAACTAATCATTAAGCAATTTGCATTCTCCAAGGAATTATGGTCATTGATCGGACTTGCTCAACCATATCCCATTTCCCAATCAATGAATTGGCCTTGTAGAACCAGTGGCTTGGCCTGCACGCTCTTGACCTGACACCACTGGATTTTTTTTTTTGGTTTGGAGGGAAATTAAAAAAAAAAAGTCTATGCAAGTCCGGTCAATTACCTTAATTCCTTACAAAGAAGGACAATTTAATCTTGTGAAACAATAACACATATCCGGTGCCGTTCTGCAACTGCTACTGTTGAAGAAAGATGCTGAGCCTGTCTTAATGGTAAATGGTCAGCAAAACTAGCTGATGAAAATGGTCCTCCGTGATGATATAGGATCCAGTTTCCCTCAGTAGTTTGGCTCTTATCGTCTCAAAGGTCGTGGGGACATGCTCAAAAGTTTCCGGAACATCACAACGGGGACGCAAAAGGCTATTTTCCATCCTAAGTGGAGCAAGATTAAGATAATGCCGATTGTAACGAAATGGCAGAAGTTTCGACGACGTAACTGACATGTTTAGTATTATTATTATTAACGTTAGTATGTGGTGTAAAAATATAATGGAAATTAAACTGAAATTTATTTGATATTTTAATTTTGTTAAGCTATTAATGTATGCCATATACTTTAATTTAATACGTAATTAGACTTAATCAATTTTAATAGTTTTGATACCTATTTTTATCGTTATTGGTGTAGTAAATGTGATTGATACCTATTTGTATCGTTATGGTGTAGTAAAAGAAGATAGATTAAATATAAAGATAAAATAAGTACCTAAAAACTACGATTTATTACTTTTTATGTTTCATAATTTTATGTTCTGTTATAGAAAGTTGCCAAATTTAAAAATTGTATTAGTTGCTTTGAATATTATAAAAATGATCCACTTTTTTGCAATTTAAGTAATTTATAAAACAATATGGAAACATAACGGCGCTTCAGATATACAGTTTTGCACAACATACTATGCAGTACTTCGAAAACGATGGATGTTGAGTGCAATTACTTCTTTTTGAAATTAACTTATTAAATAGAAGGTTTTCTGTACAAAAGTGAATATGTAATGTTTATATTCCAATCATCCACAGATGTCATAGAAACGAATACTTATATATTACATAAACATAAGTAATATAAGTTCCGATACAGGATTTATAAGATATACTTACAGACATTCACTGAGGAGATGGCCAAATTTATACCCATCATGCATAATACATAGCCTTTATACGAAGTCCAGTTTTATGTTTCCAGGGCTCTTCGGTCGTTACGTCAAGAAAATAAAACCGCCATTGCTATTCTATTTTTTTTCCAATGTCTGTTTTATAATCATTTTAGATTCGTTCTCATAATAATTTTCAATTTTTTCTATTCTATATTTAATGCAGTCTTATACATTCTAGGATACAATGTATTCTTAACTTAAAGATATCTTTATCCACATAATTTAGTAAAGATACTGATAAACTAGTGAAATTAATTTTAATTTAATTATTAATTTTAATTATAAACGAAAGGTTTTAGTAACAAAAGCTGCTAAAGCTTTATGTGTTGAAAATAAAGAATTTAAAAAATAAAAACATTTTGCATCACTATGAGCAATAATTAAACCTATTTTACTTTTTATTCTTCTAAAAAATTATCAAAAACCTTTAAATCAATATAAGAGATTAAACAATGACACGAATTAGAAATGATTCTGTTTCAATTCGAATATAATTCAGTATTTATTGGACGAACGATTTTTTTTATAATCACATATTAAACCGTTAAGCATAAGAGTTTTATTTTACTAATGCCGTATGGTTAATACGTTTCTTTAACGATTTAAAAGCAAATAAAGCATCTTCTATTTTATATACTTGTACATATTTGGAAGATATACATAGATAATTGTTTATATTTAGCCAACAAATACAATTCATATTTAATGAAAAAATATCATTTTAAGACTAATACGAGGAAAGTATTTTAAAACGTTAACAAGAAATTCGGAACAGAGAAGCGCCCACGTGTATAAGCCGGGAACTCTACTAATTATATTTCTCGTGAACGACAAAAGTCGTTTTATTCTACTAATTATCAATTTTATTTTACTAATTACAATTTAGCACATTGTATTATTTGTAGTATTTTATTAGTAATGCCCTAGTGCACTTGATGTGTTAAATGCTAAAAATCAAATCAACCTTTGAAGCCCAAATGTCAGGGTAAATTTATAAATTTTCAAATAAAACTGTTTGTGGAAACGGTGTTTTGTATTGCGAAATTTTTTTTTAAATAAATAAATAATAACACAAAATGGCTAATTTGGCAAACAAAATATATTTCAAAAAGTTAAAAAAAAAAAAAAGAATGTGATAATTTAAAATTTGGATTTTATCCATAGATTGTTGTTTTTGAGTTAAATAAATCACCAACAGGTATGTGCAAAATTGAAATTTAGAGTTAAAAATCAAAATATTTCAGAATAAAAAAATAGTTGTTATTTTTAAATTATTATTCGTTCCACCAATTCATATTGTAAATGTATTTCCGATTTTTTTCTAAATATAGTGCTAAGAGAGCCTAAAGAACTTTTCTCTTCAAATAAGTTCAATTTGTAAGTCGTTTAGGATCAAAACCCATTTTGATCAGTTTTTAAAGTAAACCATTTTATACCAAAGAAGTGGAGTTCGTTTACTGCTATACTTAAGTAATCAAACATTACTTACTAACTACCAGATTTAAATTTAATCGATGGCTGACCACCAGATCCAATCGAAATTTTAAGCTTATGCTTCGAATAAAAAAATTTTCAATCAATAGATTCTACTTCGGCTGCTAGAGCGAGGGCCTTTCCTATTTCCTGGTGGAAGAGACGTCGAAGATAGTGTCACAGTGCAACGAAACCGGACAGGTGATTCCTATGACAAAAGCAAAGTCGCTATGATTGAAATAGACTGATGAAAATATTTCCATCTCTCAATCCACCAGTTCTCAAGAAAAGAGAATTTACTATTAACAAAGCTAGTGAATATTGAAAGAATGAACATAAAAGCGATTTAAGTTTCTAACTAGAAAACTTAATTAATATTTAGTTTTAAGTAGACTATCCAACACAAAATAATACCTTTCTGCTTATCTTAAAAGCATGCATTGAAATTTATATATTTAAGATCAATAAATCGAAGATGACATTCAACTGTTCATAAAGCATTTGTTCAAAAATAAATATTTTGTATTGTAGATTTTAAGTTCTTGAGAAGTCCTTAGGTCTTAATCTACGTCCAGAGTGAGTACCAATTTTTTAAATCTAGCAAGTGATTTTGTAAATTCTGTGAGGCTGATCTGGAGTTTTTTTTTAATATTACTTGTTTATTAATAAATATCACAGTCTGTCTCAATAAAGGACACTTATAATAGAGTTCAGAGAGCACATTCACACTATATAAAATGGAGTTATGGTGTTTTGTTAAAATTTTTGTATCAAAAGCATAAATAGCGGTCAATGTTATGCAGTTGATAGGTATGTTATGAGAATATATAATGTATAGTCAGAGAACCAGTAATGATCCTTGTGGTACTCCTGCCAACACTCGACTTAACAACTACCGAGGCGCAATAACATGCCCAGGAAATTACTGGTGTTTCTTATGACAATATTTAACTATATACGGAAGACAAATGAATTCCCATTAAAATAGCTACATTCGCATACAAAAAAGATACATAAAATGGAAAAAGTTTCAATCTCTCATGCTACCAATCTATTAGTCTCCTTCTAATATATTCTAAAGTTTTCAAAATAATTAGTATACAAAAGATTGGTTGACATACCGACAGACCAAAAAATAATTCCTGACCATCAAGTCGGTTTTCGTTCATTAAATTCAACAACACACTGACTATATTTCCGGAGCACTAGAACAAAAAAAAATACGCAACTGTGTGTTTCTGGAAGTTGCCCAGGCATTTGATAAAGTTTGGCACCAGAGATTAGGCACTTAAAAGTGTTCTATCTCATTCTCCAATCTTTCCGTTTCGACATATTTTTTTTATATCCGACTGGGTTTAAATATGTCTACCAATTCGACATAAATTAAATTAATATTTTATAGTTTTTATCCCATAGTTTGCTGTAAAATTGAGAAGAAATAACGCAACGAGCTTTGATGTGGGACTTAGTCATTCCAAAAATTGTCAATCGTTTTTAAAGTTATGTCATGTTCTTAGATGAATAGAGTCCCACCTTTTTTTACATGAAGTGGAAGCAGATTGGACTAAAAATTATGAAATAATCGGGAAGGGAAGAGACTATCTCTGGATAAGTTCCCTTAGCACGGAGCCTTAATCCGCCTATCTGAATTTCTTATGAGCCCCCTTCTCCTCCCCACCCCCCCTTCTCCGGGGCTTGAAAGCCTTCTTTTACGTCACCTGTATGAAACAGTAACAGCCGCGGGCCTTTTGGAATTAAATAACCCCATTAGAAAATCTCTCTTTCCCTTTTTTTCTTCTTTATTTATCGTTTATCTCCGCTCGGTTTAGTATTCCTGTAATATCCCCCCTTGTTTTCCGTTATAGAATTTTTAAATATGTCAACAGTGAAAAGATTTATAAGATTTTTTTTTGCAACATTGCTCTAGTTGTCAAATGGAAATTTGAATATTCCAATTTAAAAAAAATATAATGAAAATGTGATATAATATCATGTGAACGGTATTTATAAAATAAAACAAAGTAAAATTTTAGTTAAAATGAAATAAGCATCTATATTCAACTAAATTAAAACAATATAAAAGAAAAAAAAATATTTAAACGACTAAAAATAGGAAATAATGAATAACAATGCTCACTTAACAAATCTAATTGAAACAAAATTTAAATGTTTAATTTTCGTAAAATAAAACAAACTGCCCCAACTACTTATGTTTGTGAACTAAAATAACTTTTCCAAATGTTCTATAATGTTTTTTTTATTCATGATATTTACACATGAAAACGGTTGTTGAGAAACTAGGCGTTGGTAGCACTCTGAGAATATATTTACATAACTAGATCATTAGGCCATCTTCTTTTCAGACGCCTTGGAGGTTATCAGATATCGAAGAGGAAGCAAGGTTTGAAACTTGAGGGTTCGGATGGTTTTGAAGTTTGTTTTGGAAGGATAGGTATCTGGATTGGGCTAAATCAGAAGCATGTGGTACTTAAAGTTCGTTATGGATGATTTTAGTGACAAAGTAGAGAGCATTGAGGATTTTGGAATATAAGGATTGGATACGAGGAATTCGATAGTATAGTGGATCCCCAAAGCATAATTCCTTAAATACAAATTGGCCTTATTATAATCATGAAAATGAGTTTTTTTTTTTGTAATATATTGAAGGTTTATAGCGCTTGTCTAGTAATTGCTGGAGGAGTCGAAAACGTGGAGCTGTTTCTTGTCGTTTCAGTCTTGTATGAAAGTTCCAAGTGAGTTGTTTGTCCATATGGAGTCTTAGATATCGGATTTGTTCAACAGGGATAAGTGGGGAATAGTTAATGAATACTATAGGACAGGAAGTCATAGGTTTACGAAGAAGAGGTTTATGATCCTTATAAAGATTCTAGCGTTGGTAAAATGAATTTAGGAAACATTGGTGTACCTCTTTTTAGTAGCTTATAGTAAATATTTTCAAATAAAGGCTTTGAAAAAATATTTAAAATGAGTTATCCATTTTTGTGTTTTGATACCTCATATATAATGGTTATTGTTAATCTACTCATGTAATAATCGTTCGAACAAATATTAAATGTGTGACTAGTCACTATTATTGTTCCATCTTCTTCATTTTGTATTGACCCGAACTTTGGCAAACTCAATTCATATAGGTGGGTTAGCGTAATTTCCTCATTGGGTAAATATTTAAGTTCCCTTTATCTCTGGAAGGGTGTGACCCTTCGCAGTGCATTTGAACCGTGTTGAATATGGATGAATTTTTCACGAAAGGGTGGCTTGTTATTAAAACCTCATATTTCCCTTCTTCATTTATTTTTCCACCGATCATTTTTCATTAATTTAATTTTAATATTTCAATCTTAATTTTCTTTCTCTGCCGAGTTTTTTAATTTAATATATCTTTTATTTATTTATTACCTACTTTTTATTAAAACACAAATAAAAATATTGATTCCACAATTCTTCCTGGTAAACCTATGACCTCCTATCCTACAGTATCCTTTAATAATAGCCCACTTACCCCTGTTGCACAAATCCGATACCTTGGGCTCCACTAGAACAAACGTCTAACTTGGAATCCTCATACCAGTCTGAAATGACAAGAAACCGCTCGACGTTTCCGACTACTCCAGCACTTACTAGACAAACGCTCTAAGCTTCCAGTTAATTACAAAAAACTCATATACATGACTGCAATAAGACCAATTTAGACTTACGGAGTTGAGCTTTGGGGCTCCACTAAGCCATCGAATTCCTCTCGTATCCAAACCTTACAATCCGAAATCCTTCGGAAAATCCTCAATGCTACTTAGTCATCAATAAAATAGTCCATAACGACCTTAATGTTCCTTATGTTTCCGATTTGGCCGAATCCAGATACCAATCCTTCCATAATAAACTTCAGAACCATCCGAATCCTCTCGTCTCTAACCTTGCTACCTCTTCAATCCCTTATAACCCTCCAAGGCGTCTGAAAAGAAGATCGCCTCGAGATCTCCTATTGTTAATATATATATATTTTTTTAGAGTGCTACCAGTGGCTAGTTTCTCAACAAGTGATTTCATGTTATTATTTTCTGTTATCAGATTTACTAAATGTATTTTATCTATTAATACAGTTGTAAATATTATAAATTTAAAAAAATAATTCTTCCGACGTATACTTCGAGGTATAATTCATATTCCGCTTATTTTATAGGTGTCTTGTTTACAGTATGTGTTAGTGTAACTTCAATAAAATGAAGATTAAATAAATAGTTTATTTATATTATAAAAATATAAAAACAGAGCATAACCGGTTGAAAAAATCACGATATCGTTTGCTTAATCATTTAACGCCCTATCTTTCTAACAATATTTCTACCTCTTGTGAGTAACAAAATTACAAAAGGATAAGAAAAGAGAACTATTGACAAAATATATTTTTAAAATCTTTTTTTTTTATATCTTTTAATTCAGAAATAATACATTTTGCCACATTTAAGGGCATTGAGTACTAAAGCTGAGTGAGGCACATTTATACCATAAGTTTTGCTTTAAATGTAAAAAAAAAAAAAAGAATTGTTTACAACTCTTGAAATCTTTAATCAAAATCATTCCAGAAATGACTTAAGATTTAAACTCAATGAGCTTTTTATTAACGTTTAGGATTTACTATCGCTTGGATATAAAACATTCTCAAGAATGTTCTGAATGATATCATATGTTAATTTATATTTATTTAAAAAGTTATTATTATTATTATTATTTTTACAGGTAGCCGATGGGTTGGCTGGAGAAACGAATCCCAGCAAGGTGAATACCTGGAGATTCTCTTTCAGTTCGACGACATTAGGAAGTTCACTGCAATGCACCTCTATACCAATCACTTTGTCGGGATGGAAGTTGAGGTGAGAAAATCTTTAGCAATTTTATTTTAATGAATAATATTAATATGTATGATATTAGTGATTTATGTTGACATCAGCCTAGTTAGGCTAATTTTAAAATAAAGATTTTATTGGATTAGCCATCGGAATTGTTGAACAGCCCCCTAAAAAAAATTCTGATAAAAAAATTTTTTTTTGTCCTAAATTAGAAGTATGGTATTCAGTCAAAATGTCTTCGTAATGTTCATTTTAGAATTCATATATTGCCCACGAGTCCAAAAAATATATAAAAAAACTAATGTGGTCATGAACGTAGTCAATAAATAGTAAAGATCCGTTATCCTACCGAACTGTCTCACCATTTTCAATAATATAATTTATTAAATATAGAAAATTATAGTTATATCCTGTCTCTACAGAAACAGTGAAACTATACAATTTTAAAATAAAAGTGTTGGCAATGACCCTGTGTGATAGAGTCAATACAAAAAAAAAAATCATTGATAATTGCATTTTTTTTCTTATTTCAGAGTTTAATAAACTGCACATGTCGATAGCATAAATTTTCATATGATTTGTGTTGCCAATAATATATATATTTTTATATCGAAGATTTTTTTTATTATGATTCAGATCGCCTTTCAAAAAAAAATCCTGAAAACTTATCTTCATCTGCGGTTTTATAGTTTTGTATTATTTCTTATGTTCAAAAAAAATTTAAGGTCAAAATGTATTGGGATATTCCGACTCCTTTTTTATTATTACAACTTTTTAGTACAAAACATTTTATTTTAAAACAATTTTTTTTTATTGTAGCGTTTTCGTCTGCTTTTACTTGCCATTTTTAAACAATTATTAATTCTGTTGGCTTAGTCGATTATTAATTCAACTTAAAGTATGTCTAGTACTTTCTGTAAAATCAGCTATGTTTCTGCAAAATGCAGTGGACGGGTTCAAATAAATGTAAAAAAAAGTTAGAAAAAAAAAGAAAATTTTAATTTAAAAAGAAGAAAAAAAAGAATCACTGCTTTACCTAAATAAAAATGAAAGTAGAATTGTTTGTAACAAAATATATATGAAAATGGATTAAAAATATATCTATTGTTAAAAATAACTTTGCAAAGTGAATATTTTTTAAACTTATTATTTACAATATATAATACGAAATGAAACGAAAAACTTTGAACAAACTACTGAAAATATTATACTCACTTTTTTTCAAATCAAAATTGAAAATCAAACAAAAACTATATATATATATACTTACCTGATCAAACCTGGTTCAGCAAAAACGACTCGCTAACAAATAATAAAATCTTTTCAATCTAAAATTTTAAGACTAATAACTGCAGCCCCTTTTAAGTCAACAACAAAGATTTACATACCGACTTAAGACTACCAAGCACATACTGACCCTCTACTCACGATTTTATCTTAAACTACAAGGACATCACAATGGACTTATCAACGATATAGCCACGCCTGATACTCATCAGAAGGCGACTGAAAAGGAGCTGGATGAGAGATCTACTTTCCTTATTTCAGGATGTATAAAGAACAGTGAAGAGGTGCTGCTGGGTACTATACTTCATCATGCCATTATGTTTTTATCGTAACAACAAATCAGCTAATTGTCACTACCATGACAGGAACGGATGAAGATTTTAAGAAAAAAAAAGTTTAATATTATTTATAAGAATAATATTTATACTTCAAACTTATTAAATCACTGTTTTTTAAAAGAAAGTCGCTAAAAAATAAAATGAGAAAAAAAAAAGAAATAAAACTTATTTATCATTGGGGTTGATCCTAACTCCAGAAAACGCGGACTGTAAGGCAAATCAACATAATGTTTTGTTTACCAAATGTTTATTTAAATAACAACTTTAAAAATATATTTACTGTAGTATGTTATAAAATATTTTGAAGTTATGATGACTAAGAGTTTATAAATAACAGTATTATAAACATTTAAACATATAAATTTACTTTATAATTTTACTTCGTTTTGGTTTCGTCATTTATAATATATTGATTAACATACACATTTTTAGACAATTTTAAATTAATCACCCATCTACGTCTCGGACTATTGCCTGGGACGTTTTCCATTAGGTCAGGCATTGATGACTACATCGGTGATTCATTATCCAGTCCAATTAATCTGCCAGCCCATTTCAATCAACCCAATGATACATCATTTACCACATGCACCCGTTATTAGACTTACAATTCCTGTTTAATTTCTACATTCGTTAGTCATAAAAGTACGATCAAGAAGCTTGTTTCCTTCAAATAAAAAAATTAAAATATGCATTGAAGTAAATTTTTTCTTCATCGGCTGAATGCTTATAAAAAATTAATACTATTTGCTAGACATTTTTGTTTGATTTTAAAATTTCAATATTTTAAGATTCTTATTCCTAAACATAATTTTAAAATTAATTACACTAACATTTATTGTAGCCCTGCCAATAATGTTCATAAATAAGGTTTATCTAGATAATTATCGGATAGTTTTAAAACCGGATACAAATTTGTTTGTTACAAAGGAGGAATATTATTTGAGTCCTGTATAGTCATTAATGAGCTATAAATAATATCCCTAATAATTACCGCCAAACTTGTTTAAACACTTTCCAATTCTATTTGTATTAACATTTAAATCTATACTAATATTTAATACCTCACCGAACACGCAAATATTTGCAACGTTAATTTACAGACCAATTATTTGCGGTTATTGGAATATTTGCCCTAGCATGGGGCTGTTGTTCCTCCAGCGGTTTGTGAACGGTTCCTATTGTTTGGATTTGATTTGGTTCCGCCATAGATCTCACCTCAGTTTATATTTAGTAAATATATAACTTCAGTTTTAAATATATTTAGCTAGTCATTTATTTTATTTCACTAACTATCCCATACAAATTTTTCATTGTTTTGTATCATTAATTAAATGTTTTAGGGTATATAGGTACGTCTGTGTTTTTTTTATTACTATTTTACTTATCTTTAAGTTATTTTATTTATGTTTATTTTATATACAGTTTAGTTATTATTTAGTTGTCATTTTGCTTCTATATATTTCATCTTTTCTGTATATATGTAGGGTGAATGTAGTTCTACCTCTCTATAATTATTATCCAAATGACAGAATGTTATATTACTCAATAAAAAATTAAATGTTATAGATTTTTTTTTGGGGGGGAGGGGTTAAAACATTTATTTGCACCTGTCAACTATATGTTGATAATCAACAAATGACATGTCAGACATGGAGAAGCAGTACTTAGCAGTACTCTTATCTGACTTGTTTCAGGAAGGAGATCTCTCATCCAACGCCTTTTTAGTCTCCTTCTCATATTCCTGGGTGTATATAGTTGGCCGTGTTTCTTATTAATTTGTTGTTATATCCGTTTCAATTTGTATAAAATCGTAGTAAAAGGAATTTTGTTAGTCATGTACCAAAGTGCTTTTATTATAAGTCGGAATAATTTTGATTGGAAGGCTTAGTGTTTTTGTTAGAGCTCTTAGCGATTTTTTTTTTTAGATTTAATAAAAATTGCATGTTTTAATATTGAACTCTCATTTTTTTTCTAATTATTATTTTTTTTAAAGTTTAAATTATTTTATTTTATTTTGTTCTAATCAACAGGAAAAAGATTTAAATATTTATTTTAAAATATTTCAGAATATTTAACAAGCATTTGAAACATTCTCTTTTTAAAATTCCCATTGTGCCGATACATTGATGGGAACGCCGACATCTGTCTCACTGCATTTATTTTTTACGGGCAAGATCGTTTACGCTTGATGGAATTCGAATTTATTTCTCGCTTTTATTAATTTTTTTTTCTGTGAATATCCAATACTCGTGTCACATATAAAGGAACAATGAGGAGTTGCTATAGTTAACGCACCAGTAGGCATCAAATTGTACTCATTTGAGCTTTATATTATATATTTGATATACCGTTTGATACAAGCTATGGAAAAAAAAAATATAATAATACGGACGACGATTTCTGTCTGATAAGAAACAGTTCCCATCATTGAACTTTTCCGAGTAATAAACATTAGTTTGGAAACCATTAAAACTTTTTTAAATAAAACTTCTTCACTACCCTAGAGTGCAAAATTTAAAATACTTTTATATAATCTGGAGCTTAGTAAAGGAAATATTTTCCTTGGTTAAAAACTTTCACAGCAGCTGTACAAACTTCAATTTCTCCTAAGGAAATGTGTTTGTATTTAGTTTTATTATCCTTATTGCTAATGAAAATTAACTTGGAGGGTACAGGAAGTTGATAAACTATCTTGAAATTCTACTTTTTAACGTTGCTTGTTACATCTTCGTCGTAGAAATTCTTGTAAATTTCAATTAATGAACTTGTTTTATCATCCTATCTTATATATTTAAAATTGTGGGTATGTTTTAATTTGTTTATAAAAAAAATAATCTATGATTTAAATCTTTTTAGGTTCGAACATTTCATTCCTCCCAGTATACCAAATGGATCGACGCCTATGGTCGATTGCTTGATGGCAGTCAATATCCGTGTTGCCTGTTAACTTTAGGTTTATTATTTTCAATAATGAAACATTGTGATCGACCAAAAAATTCAAAAACTTAACACTCTCCTCAAAATTTGAGGAATTACGTTTCAGGATACGTAGAATCCGAAAAACGAATAAAAAATTTTTATATGTAAAATTTTTGGTTATAAAATCAGAGGTCACCCGAGGATGATCCTCCTTCATCGACATTACAGCTTTCCTTTACTTTCAAAATGGCGGCCGAAAAACCTGCGTTGCTATAGACTACAGCGCCTAAACAGATATCAATGAAACTTCGCTAAAGCCATTTTCTTGCTTTTCGTTTTTTTTTTTTTTTTTTTTTTTTTTAAATAGTCTTTATTGAGATATATTACAATCTGTCACATTCAAGAACAATAGTAATAGTGATATACAGTAGCTCACAATAAATATCAATTCAATAATACTAAAGTAAATGTATATAAACTAAAAGATACTAAACTAAACAAAAATAA